CAAGGTCTCACCTCAATGGGGTAGAGTTTGACACTTGAAACCGTTTGCCCTTCTCCGGAAAGGCTTGGATACCCAACAACTGGATTCTAAAACAGTAACCACTTAAACGTTTGCTGGCTTTAACCCTAAATAGTTTCGACTTTAAAAAAAAATACCGAAATTTCAATGGACAGTCGTCTGCCATCGTTCGTCTCTGCCTCGAATGGAGGCAAATCCTGAATCAAGATAAGAAAGATTGGACAGATAAAAACAGGAAAATTTACCTGCACTGCGGCATCGAAACCATCTTCCAACAACCAGTTGAAGGAGTTCAAATGAGGACCAACAATGTCACACTCCATTGCATAGGTACATACAAAATCAGGGGAAAAATGTGTCCCAGGAAGGAAGGGAACAAGAAGAGCGATTAAAACCGGTAATGGAGCAATACCGTCACTGCCTCAGATAAGACACTTTTGCAAATGCTTTCGGTAAGGCATCATAGCCTGAACGTTCTCAGAAAACAATATTTGTATTCCTACCTCCGTCAACTGCATAGCGTAACAGTTTCAAACCGAACAGGAAAATCTGTTTTACAGTAATACAATAAATCGCTAAGTTATAACAGTTTATTATAATAAAATTGCTGTTGACTACAAAATCTGACTCGTTACATTTAAATTCCTAACAATTCATAGTTTAAGATGAAAACAAGTGTACTAAATAAATCCACAATACCGGAGTTAAGTTTTTTAAACACTGAAAATTCGATTCTTCCATTCGTATTCCTATCAGTCGACGGGCTTCTAATATAAGCAAATTTCAGCAGCAAAGCTAAGCTGCATTTAGTAAATATCTGAAATAAAATGTCTGTGTTTGCCCTAGAAAGATCATAATATGTATAACAAGTCATGGAAGTTACATTGTGTTGGATCAACAAAAACAATGTAATTGCGGCAGATCGACAGTAGTAGTTTTTATTGCGTCTTTCGCAGTTTTCTTATCAAATTCAAATTTATTATGTTACTCCGGATTTCAGGCTTCAAGCCCGAATGAAAAAGGAGGAAAATTAGAAACCGTGGCAAAGTCTCTGTAAAATTTCGTCACCTTCCTTTCATGGTGTTGAGGTCATAGAAGAATATACCGACTCTGTTGTCGCCCGGAGATCAAACGACCGAGCACGCTGTTTGAGATCTGAGGAAGGCTGCGAAAAGTCGGCGATCAGAACCTGCTGTTTGCCTTTTGCCAGCCGGTGGCGTAACAGCACAAGAACGGCTGACAAAGATCGATGAAACAAAAATACCAATCAGCAACGGTGTCGTTAGCCGTTCCGAAAGGAGGAGGCAAACAACGCGATGTCATCATAGCACTTCAAAAAATCTCCACGGGAATGACACCTTGAAATGGAGCTTACAGTCGGAAAATAGAATATATTCTCACTCAGAAGGAATGACCAATGGAATCCTTCATTCTAATGAGAGATTTATATACAAATGTCGGATTAGAGCTTGAAATGTGGATAGGCGTGGTTGGAAAGAACGGCCGTAGAGAACTCAACCATAACGAAATGACGCTGCTTCTTTTTACTGTAAACAACAGACTATCATTACGAACATATTCTTGGAGCATCGAAGCGTGCTTTAGTATATGTGGTACAAAGATGTATGTGCAAAGAAGTCGATGATTGATTTAATCATCGTATCGTCTAACTTACAACGTTCTGTAATTAATGTTGCGTTAAGAGAGGAGCAAAGCTGTCAACCAATCGATCACCACCTGTTGTAGGCACGCTGTGCTGTGAGGAATTGGGTACTACGCGAGATCTGGCGGGCCAAATAATCAAAGAATCAAATCGGTAGCGTTTTCTTTGGTGAACGCGAGAGCGAAATTTTAAAACAACATCGCATGATGGTTTTAATCGATCCCGGTGACGACCACTGATGTGGAAACCGAAATGAAGTTTTTTAAGAACGGCGTACTTTAGGCTGCCTCTGACTACCGCGGATTCAGGCAGATTGGCCCGCCGCTTGGAAGTCGGAAAGATTTTCATGGAGGACACGAGAGGAACAAGTGGCAGTTAAGGAGAAGTCTCCATTCAAGAAATTGCTTGAAAGCGAAATGTTTTCTACTTGAATGCGTCATGTCGAAACGCTCAAGAGGGCAACGAAATCAGTGCCGAAAGCCACAGCTGATGCCCAGAAAAAATTCGGTGAAACGCTGGAGTCCAGTTTCCAGATCGTAAAATAGATATTCCGGCAAATCGCCTGTTGTCTTCGAGGTGAGAGGAACGGCAGTCTGAAAGTCTTGAAGGACAGGTCTGGACATACTGCTACATTTGAAAAAAATTCTTCGGTGATGGGGAGAGAGTTCTTGGAGTAATCGCAAGAAATCTCGCTTTTGAGTGTCAAGGAACGACATTTCTCCTTTTTGTAGATGAGACTGCACGAGCTGTGAAACGTTTGAAAAGTGGAAAGGCTGCTGGAATTGATTAAATGCGCCCTTAATTGCTCAAAACAATTTGCAAACAAGGCATGCGCTGGCTTACACATGTCTTAAAAACTGTTATGCATAGGGAAGACACAATCGAACTTGAGATCGGTAGTTATCGTACCCACGTTCGAGAACGGAGACTATAAAAGTGCCCCAATTATCGGAGCATTATCGTATTGATCCTGCCAGGTAAGTCTACGCAATGGTGTTAGAAATGAGGTGCTGCGGTATAAATGACTCCAAGGTACAAGAAGAGCAGTGTGCCTTCTGCTATAGCCGAAATGTGTC